GGTTTTATATCATCGCAACCTAAACTCCTTTACAGGGGAAAAGAAGACGTCGTCTGTTCAACCAGGCCACAGCTCCCTTTAATCCCCCCCTCTTTCAGAGACATGGGCCATTTCCTGATCTGTGTACTTGTGTTTTCTCATTTCCTCATGAAACGTCATCTGCCTCAGCCCTAGTTCCAATTCACAAGAACAGCAGACCGAGAACAAAGTCCCTGGATGTTATTCTCGCCCCTCCCTCTTTACCCAGCATGCACTGCAGCAGCTTTCAATGGAGCGCTAACAGAGCTTGAATAAGTACGCTTTAAGATAATTTGAGGTGAGAATATTATACATTTAAAGGCACACTATGGAACATTTACCAATTTTATGCGTAATAAAAAAAATTAATTTAAAGGTAACGGCAGCCAGGGCTAACATTAGCCCGTCTGCAGCAGCCCTCTCTGTGAAGGACCACTGGCTCTAATGGCGAGTTTTTTGTTTTATTTGGCAAAATGTTCATTTGATTTATCTGATTGTCTTTTATTACCATTCCCCCTATAAATGAAAAAAAGCAGAATTTATCATCTAGAGACTATTAATAACTGGAGGTGAAATGCAGCTCCAGACGAGCCGAGCGTGTGGTGATGTCATCACTACACTTCTGTTCTAACTGACCCATATTTATGCTGCACAGTAAATACTATATTTGCAGCCGATTCGGATGTTATCATCCCAATAAATGTAAGCAATTATCAGTCCCATAGAATTTTGATTGGTTCCTGTTAAGTTTTTCCTCTCCACTGTCGCTACAAGCATGCTTGGTGTGAAGGATTGCTGAAGAGTGATGCAATGAACTGGTTTTCCTTAGAAAACTTCCGATCAATCTGACTGGATGGTCTGGTAAACTGTAAAGTGCCTTTTGATGATGTGTTGTGAATTGGCGCTATAGAAATAAACTGAATAGAATAGAAAGGATTCAGATTGTTAATTATCACCAAGTTAATTCTAACCCTAATAAAGAACTGGTTTATTAAAGTGAAATGTTTCAGATCTATAACTTTCTGTTTCTCTGGGACTTTTGTTTTGAAAAGCCCGGAAACAGCTGTGTATGCTAAAACAGCTTCCGGGTTTCCTCGAGCCGCAAGTCCACGTCAGAGTGGAGCGGAGCTGGTAGAGACAGACCACCCAGATCCGAACCGAACCGTGGAAACATGGCGGACGATGCCACGCGCCGAGCCGTGTCACAGATCCCGCTTCTCAAGACGCACGCGGGTCCTCGGGAACGCGCGCTGTGGCCGCAGCGGCTGAAGGAGGAGTACCAGGCTCTGATCCGGTTCGTGGAGCAGAACAAGGCCGCTGATAATGACTGGTTCCGCCTGGAGTCCACTCCGGACGGCACGCGTTGGACCGGTAGCTGCTGGTTCGTGCACGAGCTGCTCCGCTACGAGTTTGCCGTAGAGTTCGACATCCCGGTGACGTACCCGGAAACGGCGCCGGAACTAGCGATCCCAGAGCTGGACGGGAAAACGGCCAAGATGTTTCGGGGCGGGAAGATCTGCCTCACCGAACACTTCGCTCCGCTGTGGGCGCGCAACGTGCCGCGCTTCGGGATCGCGCACCTCATGGCGCTCGGGCTCGCGCCCTGGCTGGCCGTAGAGATCCCGGACCTGATCAGCAAAGGTCTGGTCATCCACAAGGAGAAACCACGTGACGGAGCGGAGTGACGTCAGAGGATGGGGTCTGGCTGATGGAGGCGAGAAGGATTTATGAACAGGGTTCTGTCACAGAATAACATCTAGCAGCCAAAGTTCTGCAGGACTGGCTGTGGATCCACGGTCTGCTTGGACCTCATTCTGGAGAACCCAGGTTATTCTCAATGAGTTCTGGTTCTGAGAGGCTGATCTACTGTCAGTCAGGAGAACAGATGTTGTACAGAAGAATAAAAAGTTCTGGTTCAGATTGTGTGTTTGGTTCTGTAACAAAAAAACTTGGTTCTGAGAAA